AACATGGTGGCGTGCATCCTGCGTCGCCGCCATGTTGGCAGCGCCGGGCGCTAAGGGCCTTCAAAGCCTAAAATCCATCAGAAACACATCATTCATTACCTAAACTTTAATTTTCTTTTATACAACTATAATGATTTATCACAAACAATTAATTCTCTTAATTTTGATTGGTCAGAGCGAAATGTTGCTAGCTAAGTTAAGCTAGCAACAATCAGCAGTTTAGATTCGCTTTCTGGCCTCAATGGCTGAAAGTAAAAGCAGATAATGAGACTTTCTGCACAAACACAGAAGGATGGATTTAGTTTATAGATAATCAGCATCTCTGGTGAGTTTGATCTATTTTATTTTCATGCTTTATGCTCCTTTTTATCGGGTAATTAGATGCATAATAAATCTGAACGGCTCCTGATGATGCAAACATGCTGTGGTTATGGAGGATTGCTGATGTCTTAACGAGGCTTCTTGCTAATTGATCTCTGTATTCATCCTCTGAAGACATATATAAATGTAGGCGGCAGGTGCCCTTTTTCCGAGCGGCGCACCTGTCCCCAAACATGTCTGTGCACGCCCCTGGTTTACATCCTTTGTCTGGTTTCTGCATTTCTAACGTAAAACTTTAAAGCTTCCAGGTTTGTTTTTCTATGAATGTGAAAGTTTCAGTAAAAACAAGTCCTGCTTTTCCACAGCTGTCTCCAGCAAATATCATGTCCCATAATTTTACAGCAGTCGGTGAACATTTCAAAATAAGATGCATTCATGGTAGTTAAGTGTTTTCTGTGAAAAAGCAAAATGATGAATCTAAGGTTGATAAATAGATCTTCAGATAAATGAAGGAATCCCTGAAAGCAGCAGAGATTCGGCCTCAACACACCGATACAGTAGTTTGGAAATCCTAATTAATCCTAATTAAAAAATGCAAATAAGAAGCCACATCTTTGATTAAGCTGCAGTCGGGCTCCTTGTTGGTTTACTGTCCTCAGATGCAGCTTGATTACACAGAGAAGAATGCAAAAGTATCAGAGAAGGAAAATGTTGTAATTAATATAGAAGTGCTTTGTGTGAGATCGTTCTAATTAGTCCCCAGTCCCCCCCCCCTCTGCTCTCCAGGACGGCCAGCGTCCCCCGTTCCTCCAGATGCAGAGGAATTACAAACTAATTACACAGAATGGGTGCTGGGATTCATCTGGCCCAACAAATTAACTTATGTGCTAATTAGCATATGATGGCTCTAATGACTAATAATTAGCCAATTAGAGGGCTGGGCGATCTTATTATGCCGCTGGAACACTGATGGCTGGAGGACAGGCGCAGACAAAGCAGGACAGCAGAGCTTCAGCAGTGGTAAGGCGGGCTGCACTCTACGACTTTTTGCCCTCTTCAGGCCGATTCTCCAAGAATTTTCTGGATCAGGCTGAATTTCAGCCTCGCGGCGCGTCGTTTAGCATACAGGAGCTAACGAGCGGCGATCGGCCTCTGATGAACACCTCCGGAACCGGAAACCATAATGTTGGGGTGAAATCAGACATGTTTGAAATTCATTCGTCCTCCTGAGGTGTTGGTGGTTAAATCCTGCTGATGAAGCAGATCTACGAGCCGATCTACCAGAACCTCCATGTTCAAACAAGGGAGTCCTTCTTCTTCCAGACTAACAAGTCCGACCAGCGCCATCCCTCAGTGCTGAATCCGACAAACTGCGATGAAGTTGCTTTAAGTTGGAGATACGACACACATTGGACAGAGATTCGCTTCAGTTAAACCTCTTCTTCACTCCAGGTACACTGCGATCGGAGAAAGCCACTCCAACAATTCAGGTGCACCTATATTAGAGACGTTACAGTAGAAAATCGGCTACGTCGTGAACCGGCGTCCTGTTCTGAAAATAAAACGGAGGCCCAGCTTTTTGAAGCCCAGAAGTTGTCAAGCTAGAATGTTAATATTTATCCTGTTTACAGACTGATAACTATGGAAGAGGATTAGGGCCACTGAAAAAAAAAAAAAGTTAACTGATTTTTAAATTTTATTTCAGTTTAGTATGGATCAAAAGTCAGAATTCTGACTTTAATCTCAGAATTCTCAGATTCCTTTGATGTCAGATGTTAGTTTTTCCTTTGATGATTCCGACTCTGATGATGTTTCCATTTTTAAAACTTCTATGATCATGCATCTAATCACATCTAATCATTTTTTTACACGATTTTTCTATTATTTCTTTTTATTAAGGATTTAATGTTTTAAATGTTGGATTTTCCTTTAATGATGTTTTGTAGGAATGTAAAACAGACGCAGACGGGTGACGCTGAGAAAATGTCTTCCTCTAAAATGAATAAAAAATATTTTTTTTCTTTTGGAAATAAAATCATATGTAACAAATGTTCAACCTAATATGATGATTTTGCCAACTTTTTTATTTTTAAGTTTTAAAGTGTTCTTATTGTTTATTATTTTTCATTCAACTTAATCAGAGATTAATTTATTGTTTGATGGTTTAATCATTTATTGTCTCATAATCTTTTATTAATCCACCGGATTAATTACAGGTTTGTGTTTTTTTAGCCTTATTTTTATTCATCATCTTTCCTTTTTATCTTAATGGTTACTTACATTTTTCATCTTAATTTTCTTTACATATAATCTCTGAATTTTCTTTTTTTATTATCAAAAAATAAAACAAACAAATACATTAAGAGAAATAAACAAAAGGGTTATTTTTACTAAAATAATAATAATAAAAAATAAATAATCGAAGGAAGAAACTGAGGTCGAAAAATTCGGATCCCTGTTAACCTCTTAACATGAAGTAATCCTCGCCTATTCTGCAGATCTACATTTTTAATTTCATACGTTGATTTATGAGTCTGTATTTTCCATTTTCGTACTTATTATCAGTCAAGCTGATGTTCTGCAAGTATTTAAGAGGAGGAGACAAAAAAAATAAATCATTATTTCCATAAGAAGCCAGATTCTTTCTCGAAGTTTATTACATTTCACTGTTTTTTCCAGAGTGTCTATCTCTGTTTTTCATTTGGACAAAGAAGACAGATGGTTATAGAGGGGCGTGAAGGAAGCCATCTATGCTAAGACTGATTTTAACTTTTTAATTAGTCTTTAATTAGTTCTGATTAACTCCCAGACTTCAGAGCAGGTCAGGAAATCACCAGAAATCCATCGATCCTGTTTATCTAACTGAACGGAATGGTTGAATACTTTTTTCACAGCCGTGTCATCTGGAGGATTCAACCAGGAGCCCCTAAAAATCTGTTTACGCATCTACATTGTTTATATCTGTATACTGAGGAGGAGAAAACTTTTAACTGGACAGTTTTAACCTCACAACTATTAACTATATATGTGTTTATAGTTTTCATTTGTTCATTGATCTAATCAGTAATAACCTGGAGTGTCACAGTAAAGTCATGAGATGTTAGCACAGAGTAATGGCTGCTTCATTTCCAGTTTAACCAGTGTGAGGACTGCTGGTTCACCTCTGGTTAGACTGGGAACAGTTTAAAACTTTATCTAGAAACAGATTGACTGACATGGGGTTGACCTTGTTTCACATTAGTGTTTAGTTAGGATGAGTCTCTGCTGCCCTCTGCAGGCTGATCTCAGAACAACAAGCAGGAGGCTCTTTTTATGGCCAAAAAACTTTACATTAACAGATGGGTAATAAAATGATTTTAAATTATGTTTAAATTTTCTTTTTTAAGCTGTCTTGTTTTATTTACTCTAACAATTAAGATTCAAGCCTTTGAGGGGACAAAATTTCATACAATTCAACAAACCTAAAGGAGTCAGTTCCAGAATTAATAATTAAGTGATATAACACAATATGTACGACTATTTTATGCATGATGTTAACTAACCTAAAATGCGAGTTCACTCTGAAGGCGTTTTGAGCGTCATAAACACTCAGACAGAAATCTGGACGCTGCATCAAACTGTGGTTCAGTTGCTTTGCTGCTCGGCGCTCAGCTTGTTTATCTGCTCTGTAATTTAATCTGAAATGATTCCATCCTGTTCAATAAATGATCAGTGTTTTTAATTCAGAGTAATTTTCA